TCCTTAAAAAACTTTAACTAGACTCTACCTCAGGCTGTTATCCTAGCGTTCTCCATTCCTCTGCCCAATTCCTTGAAGAAATTGTCTACACTTAGTATTTCCACTTCCTCTCTTATTTACACCTTAGCTCCTTGCAGTGTGGCTTTCAACCTCATTACCCAGCTGGAAATGCTCATTGTTAACACTGACAGTTTTTCCAGGGTCCACATTCCTCCTGCAACCACTTGCTGCATTTGATGCTGTTGACCAGTTCTTTCTCCTGGATACTCTCTCCTCCCCTGGTTTTCGTGACAGTACACTCTCCTGTCTTATCTCCTGCCTGTCTGACTCCTCCTCCTCAGTCTCCTTTGCTGATTTGTCATCGTCACACTGCATTACCTTGGGTATTCCCCAAAGTTCTGTCTTGGGCCCTTTTCTTCTCTCCCTCTGTACTGCTCTTGGTAACTGTTTTAGCTCCCATGGGTCTAACTACCGTCTGTATCAGAATGACCATGGTTTTATACCCAGCTCCAGTTGATGGTGTTGAAGGGACCATTATCCTTGCAGCGTCCTTACCCCATATTTAGCTACTTGACAGATCTTGGCATTGTTACTTTCCCAACATGCCTGTCATCCAGCTCTTCACTCTAATCATACAACTGCCACCTAAATTCAGGTCCTTGTTACCTCTTTCCTAGGTTATTGCAACAGCTTCCTAATTGGTCTCCCTGTCTCAGGTCTCATCATTTGAACAGTGAGTCTGATGGGGAAAAAAATGTCAGTCTACATAGTGGATAGAGCACTGGCCCTGAAGTCAGGAGGACCTGAGTTCAAATTCAGCCTCAGACCAAACACTTGACACTTACTAGCTGTGTGACCTTGGGCAAGTCACTTAACCCCAATTGCCTTAAAAAAAAAAGTCAGTCTAAATTATTCTTTATTCTTCATTAATTTTTTTCAGTCGATTGCTTTGTTTTCATTCAGTTCCATAATATTAATCGCCTTCAAGCACAAACATAAGAGCTGATTCCAGGGAGTAATAATATGATGTGGGTGGTGCTCTCTTAAACAGAAGAATCAGTCTAACCTAGTGAAATACAGCAGTTTCACTTCTTCTGAGAGAGTTTTCCAGCTCATGCTGAAAATGCAGATACTACAAAGAAATTCCCAGAGTTCCTCCTGGCTAGTCCCATATTGATTGTTAGTTTCAGATCTTTGCAGCAGTAGGGGAAGAAATGGGGACTGAAAAGAAACAAGACTGAAGTAGAAAAATTAGAAAAACTATTGCAGACACATCAGACCTTCCCTGCATCCCCCATTTCTTTTCTTTCGCACTGTTTCACCTTGTCTCCCTTTGCTAATATAACACTGTTCTCTCCTGGTTCTCCTACTTGTCTGACAGCTCTGTGGTTGTTCTCCAAGGCTAAATTCACTGCCTTGGTGAACTCATCCATTCCCAAAGGTTCATCTCAAACTGAACAAATTCTCTTTCCCAAAACACACCCTGCCTCCAAACTTGCCTTTTCTTGTTGAGAGTAACACAATCCTTCTAGTAGTACAAGTTTGTAATTTCAGAGCTACCTTTGACTTTCCTTCTTTCTCACTCACAATAGTTAGTCAGTTAATAGGTCTTGGCCATTTTAAAGTCACATCTCTCCCATTCCTCTTTCCCGTACTCAGCCACTGCCTTAGTGTAGGCCTTCATCCTCTTCACCTGAACCACCGTTAACAGCCTCCTCCTCATTGGTCCCCGTACTTATAATCTCTCCTTCTCCAATATAATGTCCACACAGTGGCCAAAGTCATCTTCATAAGTCACAGAACTAACCACATCCCTCCACTACTCAAAAACCTGTAGGGGAACCTTACTGACTTAGATAATATGCAATGCTCAGCCTAGCAACAGTTTAGTTTATACCCAGCTTTCCATTTTTATGAGCCCTTCTTTACATAATGTTGCAGCTAAACTGCGCTACTGCCTTTTCTCCCTCTATATATCCAGTTTCTCTCGACAAACTCTCACAAGCCATTTTTCATATGTGGAATGCACCCCTGCCTAATCTTAGCCTTTCCAAGTCCATATTTTCCTTCAAAGCTCCATTCAAGTCCCACCTCTTGGGTGAAGCCTTCCTTGACCTCTCCGGCTGTTAGGGTTTTTGGCTTCCTCAGATTACCTTGTATTTCCTTATTTGTTTAGTGGTATGTACCTCAATAAAACGATAAGGTCCTTGACAGTCAGAGACTATTTTAATTTTTTCTTTGTATTCTCGACATCTAGAGTGGTTATATGTATGTAATAAGTGCTTAACAAATGCTTATTGAATTAAATCTAAGTCTGTCTGAGCTCTATTACACCCTACACACTGCTACCAAAATGATTGTCCTAAAGGACTGGTTTCACCACGTCACCACAAACCCCACATCCTCTCAATAAACTTAATGGACTCCTGTTCCTCTAGGAGAAAATATAAATCTGGCTTTTCCTACCTTGCCAGTTTTCCTACACATTACTCCCCTCCACTCACTCTGTGGTCTAGCTATACTGTTGTTGTTCTTGTCTACACTTGCTTATACTTGCTGTTCAGCACCCATCATGGCCATCTCCCATCTCCAAACCTTTGCATTGATTGTTCCCCATTTTCAGAATGCCCTTTCTCTTCATCGCTCCCTTTTTGAATCCCTGATTCCCTTCAAGATTCAACTCAAATTCAACCACCATCTACATAAGACCTTCACTGATTCCCCACACAGCTAGCAGTCTCCCTCTCAAAGCTACTTTATACTTAGTTTGTATAGAACAGTAATGACCACTGCCGAATCCAAAGAGAGTGGTCAGGCTCCTTTCTTCTCCTTTTCTCTGATTCTTTATACCCCTGCTGTGGCAAATAAAAGACTGCCCTGTAATGCCAAGGAAAATGACTTAAAGTTTGATGTTTGGCTTATAGCCTGGATCTCTCCAGAAGGGGGAGTAAAAAGGTATTCAGTGTACATATGAATCAGATTTTTGACAGCTATTTATTTCCTCTGCACAGAAAAATGCTTAACATAGGAGATTCACAAGCGCGCATTGACAAAAGACTTAAATAAGCAGCAGCAGTAACAAGTTAGAACTCCATTACACTCTGTTGGGAAGTTAATACTTAAAATATCAACACATATGGCACTTAGTTGAACTGTTAAAACAGTATTTCATGTTTTGCCTTCTCTCTGCATTGTCCATACATGCATCCATTTCTTCTGGCTGGCCTGGCTAAGGGTTGGATTCATTCTGTGGCCAGTGAGCATCTTCTCCAAGAAGTACTGCGGTTTGCCAGGGCTCCTTCCAAAGTGCCTGAGGACCCAGCACCTCCTCACCCTTTCAAGCTAACAAGTCGGCCTCTAGGGCTAGAAATGCCCATCTCAGGATGGCTACACACTCAGCGGTATTCAGGAAAAAATAGAAGAGATGATAGATGGATGGATGGGTGGATGGTTAGATAGATAGATTGATTTTAATGATGGTTTCCTGAGCTGCAGTGGTCAAAAAAATCGTTGCCTAGTGTCCATTCTCTTTTGATGTAGTTCCCTACACATTTCCAAGCCAGTACTTGAAATCTTTCTGGCTTGATACAAGACCTGCTACCAGCATATTCAAAAGCCCACACTAGACTAGAATTTTGAATTATGTTACAATCATCTTTGTTCTCAGTATTTCTACTTCTTTGTCCATTTAACTTGATATACACATATGATATGTATATATATGCATAAGTATGTGTGTGTTTATCTGTATATGTACAGACAGTTCTCACTTGACACAAGTACAGCCAGAAAGCACCAAGCCAAGGGGCAGGAGTGGAGAGAAAGAGACATAGCATGAATGAGCACAGTACTGTAAAGTTAACATAGTTTTTTTTGTTTTGTTTTGGAATGTGGATTTCTTTCAGAATTCTTTATGTAAGGTCAGATTTGCATAATGCAAATAGATTTACTATATACACACATAAATATACACACATACAGGCTTCCAGTGGTTTGGGTGTTTTGGTTTTTGTTTGACAATACGGTACTACGATATTCTAATGGATTGTTACCTCAGCAGTAAGAGTACTCCTCCCCAAGTACAGACTGAGATGTCTCCAAGATTCACCAGACACCACAGCCCCATTCAGCTCAAAGTCTACCTTCTGCCGTAGGCCATTTCTGCCGCACCCCCACCAGCTAACTCCTTCCCTTTTCAGATCAAGCTTCCACCTCTCCTTCCCATTATAGTATAAACTCCTTCAGGGCAAGAGTTGCTTGGGGCCTTTTTTTTTGTATTTCCAATGTTCTGCACTGTGCCTGACACACAATAAGCCCTTAATAATGCTCATTGATATAGACTTTTCATCCAATCAAAGATATTCTCAAACACATCTTCCTATAAATACTCCACAAGGGGTCCGGCCAACATGCTAGGGATCTTCCCATAGGTACCAGCATAGGATGCAGACTATCATTTGTTTATTGTTTGTTTCTTTTTTTAACTTTGGGGGGGGGCTAGGCAATAGGGTGAAGTGACTTGCCCAGGGTCACACAGCTAGTAAGTGTCAAGTGTCTGAGGTCACGTTTGAACTCAGGTCCTCCTGACTCCAGGATCGGTGCTGTATCCACTGCACCACCTAGCTGCCCCCAGACTATCATTTGTTATCATACCCTTTCTGTATGTATTTCTCCTAGTGATGGGTCTTGGAGTTCTTTTTATACTGTTCAGTGTACATCCCTTCATTGGTAATGATATGGTGCAGCCTATAAACACTCTCCCTAGGTCTCTATTGTCCTTTGGGCAACTCAGCACTTTTATTTTCAGAGATTGTGGATCCCATGATTCATAGTTACTTAGCATCGCCAGAACAAGATTGCTTTTATAAAAGTGGTTTCATGTTTCAGGGAGATGCCTAGAGTCATTAAAAGTACTATAGCATAGAAATTATAAGTTTGTGAAATCCCTTTAGAGATTCCAGGGATTGATCTTTGGCCTAATCCCTTTCTTCTCCATCCAGGACATTTTACAGCAATGATATGGAAGAGCACAAAGAAGATGGGGATTGGAAAGGCCTCTGCAAATGATGGTTCTTCATATGTGGTTGCCAGATACTTTCCAGCTGGAAATATTGTCAATCCTGGTTTCTTTGAAGAAAACGTCCCTCGTCCTGAAAAGAAATGATTTTGAAAACGCAAACATTAATTGTGGACTGCAGAGTGTAACAGTGAAAAAGTCTATGAAATCTGAAGCTTGATGCCTATGTTTACCTGTCGCTTTGACAGCACACACTCTAATACACATTATGAGTGTGAATTGACTTAAGGCTTAAAATAAACATTTAATGATATGATACAGCTACTTGGACTATCATTATATGAACTTTGCATTAAAAAAAAGTAATCATTTCTTGTAACTTTTTTTAAAAAGCAAATTGATTGTATATTCTCCTCCTATACTGTGTCCAGAACTCTGTTTTCTAAATTTCCATTATTTTGAAAACAACTGAAGTGCTACATTTATCTTTATGCATTATAGTTTGGTATTATTATGAATATTGAAAATAGTTTAAAAAACCTTATGATTTATTCATTTTAACTGAAATCAATTTTTGGTTTTAAAATTATAAAAATATTCCAACATGAATTTATCATCTTTGTAAAAGTTGATATGACCCGTAAGCTAATCACCTTCCAGTGTGACAGAGATACAAAATCTATGACAAACTTCACTTCCTCTTACACTTCCTAATTTTTTTAAAAAGAAAAATCTTCTATATTTCAGAACACCATCAAGTTGGTCACGTCACGGTATGGACGCTGGATTTGGGTGATTCCTGTGTTCATGGCGAAGACCTATCACACCAGCCTATATATTGGCTTCAATACTTTAATATTTTCCAGGCTGCACACCACCTTTTTTGACACATATTACAACCCATCTGTGACATAGTATACAGTCTGCATGAGTTTCTCTGCCTTCAAAATTTATCACTCATTGACTTACCTTTTACTTATAAGCCACTTCACATCTAGCTAGGCTGGGCTTAGATAACAGGAATTCTGGCCACGTCCTTAACTCCAAACTTTTCTCATTTGGGAAACCTTGCCTTCAGGAACCCAAAGTCACCTAAGTGCCCATATATCAGAGTAAGACTTTAGTGAATGATTAACATGTATACAGCTATATGTGTACATATATGCAGACATGTAGCATAAAACTTTAAACGAGGCAAAAGAAGCACTCTTTTTCCCCATCCACGATTTCTTATTTCCTTGAACTTGACTGTGACCTTAGACAAGACTTCTCAGGACAGACCTGGATGAGTTTGGTGGGATTTGAAGGATTATTAACCGTTTCCTTGCTATGGACCCTGCTATCTCAAAGCAGGAAATGAACAAAAGCAGTATTCCTGGCAGCTCTGTAGTATTACAGATGTGCTAATATTGCCTCCCAGAGTCATGTCAAATGCACACAACTTAAAGGTCACAACACAAGTCACGTGTCCTTGAGAGATTTTAGCATAAATAATCCTGTGTTCTTTAGTTTGGTTCAGTATTTATATTTGTGAAGTATTTGCCTTAAGGTTAAAATATATGTGCATTTACATATTCAAACATTGTAGCTAATTAATTCAAAAGATCATTCCCCAGAGTGTATATTCTAGAAATTGATGTTGTCTATTATTTCAGTTATCTCTCCTTCGAAAAACCAGCTGTAGGATTTGAAATTGGTGTTTTACAAATTCCAACTTAGAGTAAGTTTGAGTAGAATGTTTTACGTTGTCAAAATTGTTTGGTTTTTTTTAACGCTAATTTTTTATTCCTAATGTAATCCAGGGATTTAATGTTATAGAGAACATTAGAAAATAAACCATATTTTTCAAAAAATACATTATTGTGAAGTGATTTGCACCAGTTTCTTTATTGAGTACTAATTAATTCAAGCCTCTTACGTGGTTTCTAATAACTGCTAATTCCCCTCTGAATCTCAGTATCAGAGATGTTTAGTGACATATAAAAGTGACTGCTGTAGTACTAACCAACCAAGATAGGTTCTGGTACTTAATTTTTACTGAATGAAATCAGATGGTCTCTGAAGATTTAAAATGAACTATCAACAGAGGGAAGAATCTTCAGTCCTACAGTCAGACTCAATTCAGAGCAAGGATTATGATACTGTGGGACTTTGCCAAGTTTAATCAACAACAACACAATAATAAATAATATTTATATAATACTCAAAGCTCACAAAGTATTTTTCCTCAATAGGTACATAGTATGAGTAGTATTACCCCTATCTTATAGAAACAGAAGCCCAGAAAGATAAAGAAATTTGTCCATAGTCACACAGCTAGTAAGGTACACAGACTAAATTCAAACCCAAGTGTTCTGGGCTCTTAAGTCCTGTATTCTCTCCGCTATAGCTTAATTTTAATCAAGAGTAGGATAAAGAATTTATATATACAAAGCTACTGTTTACATATATACTTCATTCTCAAAACTGAAATTTGAATACTTTTTCTACAAAAACTTGGTGAATTATCAGTAGGGAAATATGCAATGAATAAAATTCACCTTCAAATAAGGATTCTATAGCCAGGAAACAGGTTTTTTAATACACATATATAGAGATATCTATAGATATATAAATCTCAGCAGGCTAGAGGCCTCAACCAATCATTTGTGTACTCCATGTTTAGAAGGAAGAAGCAAAGACAAAAAAACTCTGATCAGAGTTTTGTTAGAGACATTTTTTAAAAAATTATCAGATGTGCCCAGACTTAGTTAAGTCCTACATTTACAGTACTATGTGATGAGAAATTACGTTCAAAATTGTTTGCTGCAAAATTCTGAATCATCAATGTAAGATTTTTAGTATTTTAGACTGAGAAAGGTAAATGTTGCACCTTTTGTTAGTTTCTTGTCATGATAGTTTTTTGAAAACCAAGGGATGACCAATACTTACCCAGCACCTCTTTAAATAAAGACAAATTGTGCAGTGTTCTAGAGCAGGGGTGGGGAACCTGTGGCCTCGAGGCCACATGTGGCCCAAGTGCAGCCCTTTTACTGAATCTAAACTAAAGTTCTGTGAAATTTGGATTCAGTCAAAGGGCCATACTTGAGGACCTAGAGGGCCACATTTGACCTCGAGGCCCCAGGTTCCCCACCCCTGCTCTAGATTATATGTGTAGCATTAGTTGGACCCATTCTAACAGAATGGTAGTGTTTCACTCCTTGACACTCTTTTCCTAGTAATTAATAATAATGGCTGACATTTATCTAGGACTTCTATTTTTACTGCTTATGTCCTCCTTCTTGAACTCATCTCTTCCCCACAACTAGACATTCCCCAGGTCTACAACACCATAATAATTGAAAACATTTTAAATTTTACCTACCAAACCCCCCCCCAAAAAAAACTTTACAGGTTGTAAAATCTTATGAAGAGGAATGATGGATGACTATGGACAATATTGTCCCATAAAACAGAAAGCAATGGAGGACAAAGCCACTTTAAAGAAACCTGGGCAAGGTATACAACTGAAATCATCCTAGGGGCATTCAAGGATAAAAATGGAAGGAACAATACAAACTGAAGAAAATGGAAGAGATTTGCAAAAGTCATCATAGCAAACTTTTCTCCATTAAGGGCACTTTGGGCCCTAATAGCACTGTCCTGGATATACTTATAAAGGAGGTAAAATATCACTATTAATCAACAAGCCTTTATTAAAGAGAACATAGATTGGGAAAAAAGCTGTTCTGGATCAAGTATATACACATTCTGTTTTCCAAGTGCAAATCAAGAGGTCTGTCACCCTCGGCTCTGTCACATACTGTGTATGTTTCACTTCTGTTGGCCTCAGTTTACTCATCAATGAGATGAGGGTTGAAATAGATGACCCATAAGGACCCTTCCAGATCTAAATCTACATTCCAATGAACCCACAATTATATTGCACTTTAAGGCTTGCAACAGGCTTTTTCTCACAATCCTATCAGGTGGGTTAAGTACAAGTATTTTTTTGTGGTTGGGAATTGTGATTTCACCAGTGTCTGGGGATCTCCCACTGTGGAAACTACCTCCACTGATGGCAGTGTCAATCTGTCTGTAACTTAGAGTTCTAGAAAGTAACTTCTCATCTTAAGTTTTTATTTTGAACATAAAAAAAAAAAACATTTCCATACACAAATCAGAACACAAAGAAGATTCTATATGAAACCAGATCTCCATTTCATACTGCTTGCTTTTTTAAAAGCATATAATAAATTTTACATATTACTTTCTTTATGAACTTCCTTCAAATGTTAACAATGGGGACCTTTTTTTCGACATCTCTATTGCTAATTCTCATCTCCCTCCCTGCTACCACTACCACGGAGGTTAACCAAATTAACTGAAGAGGGAGGGAAAAAAAACCTTGTAACAAATAAGTATAGTTAGTGAAACAAGTCCATACGGTAGGCGAAAGATGAACTGACTGAGGAAAACAGGTTTGAGCTTTCCGGCATTTTGATTTATTAAGCAATGTATGCTAATTGCCTAACAGATTGGGACCAGGCCCCTCTCTCAGTTTAGGGCTGGACCCCGAATACAGGGGAAGACAGATTTTTTTTTTTACTGCTTAAAAACAATCAAATAAGGCCAATTAATTAAACAATTAACTAGGATACATTAGGCAATCTGATTTCTAAGGGTGGAAAGATTAGGGACTTTCCAAGTTTAGAGGGGAAAGTAAACAGGTACAATTCCCTGAATAAGAAAAAGAGGTGTCCTACTTCCCTCAAGTGTCCGTATTCAATCAAAGGAACGTGGAAACAATAACTGAATGATCAGTAAAGGACCAGTTTTCAGATAAGACCTATGGGTTGCTTGAGATATATAATTATCAGAAAACTCCTTGCATCAATCTTTGGATCTGACTGGGTTTCTGGTCAGCATAACCCAGATCCTTAGTTAGGGGTCTCTAAACAGCAGGTAAGGTAATCCAGCTTCCTAGCCATGCAGGGCTAGGTTCAAATGATGCAATAAGGTTTTCTCCCAATTCCCACAACTGAATAAAAGTTTTCTCACAAGACAGAAGTTGGAATAGACCCATAATTGAAGAGAAAGGATACTGAATTACTTTCAGATTTGAGTCACAAGATGGAGTCAGTATAGAACACTCAGTTCCCACAGTTAACCACTTGCTGTCCCAGTCCCCTCAATTCCCTCATCTACAAAGTGGCCATGTCCAAAAATATATGCCTCTTTACTTTCATTTCCTCACCTCTCTGTCAGGAGGGAGGCAACACACTTCATCGCAGTTCCTCTAGAGATGTAGTTGGTCATTACTTTGATAGTTCTTAGGTCTTTCAAAATTGTTCTCGTATAAACTGCTCTGTTGTCTGCTCACTGTGAACTGCACCCGGTTCACACTACCTGGTTTTCTCTAAAGTAATCTCTTTTGTGATTTACTAAAGTATTAAAGTATAATAATATTGTACTGCATTCATAATACCATAATTTGCTCAGCCATTCCTTGATTATCTAAGAAGCAATCTAAAGCATTATTCTGCTTCTTTTCTCCAACCTTGTCCCCATTAATACCCTGCTTCAGGAACAAGAAGTGTGTTTTGTTCATCACATTCCTCCCTGGTATTATCCTTCCTTTTAACTTGTCCTAACCCCATTCCTGCTTGTTTCCCTGTTGAGTTTGATATGCTCTACCCCAAAATGTATGTTTGAGTCTGTGGGCATTCAACCCTCCTCCGTATTTATATATTCTTCTCCTATACCCCAATTATGAGAAATGCCAAGTTCTACCCCCTTCTTCCTCCTTTGATGTTTTCCTTTTGCCTTTCCCTCTCTTTCCCCTCTGAAAACTCTCAGAATAGAACCAGTCCCCTCTCAGGACTTCTGCTTTTCTCATTTAACTCCTTTATCATCCTTTAAAGATGAAAGAACACATGTTTCTTCTCCATCTGATGGAATGTTGACACTACATCATTATACAGGTTTTCAATCGCTCAAATAAAGTTACCTTTCTAGGTTTCTCTAAGCTCTTATGTTCGTATTTCAGAGTTCCTAGTCAGCTCTGGTCTTTTCATCGAAAATGCACAAAAGTCCTCTCTTCCACAGGTATCAACCTCGAGACCCTCAAACTCCTACCAGAACCAGATTAAAATGTAACTGGGCTTCGGAAAATAAATAAAAATTCAGTACAACTTGGTAATGTTAACTTGTGGTTTTCTAAGTCACTATGAGGCAGGGATTCCCTTTTTGAGTCTGATGCCTTGTCTATTATTACCTTAAAGGCCTAGTTTTCAATGGTAGGGATTATACTCAGCTTTGCAGGGTAAGTTATTCTTAAGTTACTAGCCTATATTTTTTGCCTTTTGAAATGTTATATTCCAAGATCTCTTCTGGTTTTTAGTAGAAGCTGCTGGGTCTTGTGACATCCTGATAGTAGTTCCTTGGTACTTTTAACTCCTTTCTGGATATTTCTAGCATCTTTTCTTTGATCTAGGAACTCTGGATTTTGATTATGAACTCCTTGAGACTTTTCCTTTAGGGTTCCTTTCAAGAGGCAATCAGTGTATTCTTTGTATCTTTATTTTTTTTCCTCTGGTTCTAACAGATCTGAACAATTTTCATTTATTTCTTAAAATATAGTGTCCAGGACTTTTTTTTCCCCCTGAACATGGTTTTCAGATAGTCTAATGATTCTTAAATTAATTCACCTTGAGCTGCTTTCCAGGTCAGTTGTCTTTATATCATATATCTTATATTTTCTTCTGTTTTATTAATCTTTTAATTTTGTTCTGATGTTTCTTGCTATTTCATGGAGTCACCAATTTCTGTTTAATCTATTCAAATTTTCAGGGATTATATTTCATGGGTAAAGTTTAACACCTCATC